GTTCCCAAAAATATTTCCTAAAAAATATCGCTATATTAAATTAAATCATATATCAACTATGTAACATGACAATGATTCCTCACCATTAGTTTAAATCAAATATCAAATAATTCAATTCGCCCTAGAACACCCTGCCAGTTCGTTAGAGGATTCAAGTGTGGACAAGATAAGTGGCAGATATGACACTATTGATATATCCACATATCTAGATCTTTGATGGGCAATTCGATTTGTGAATCTCTATGATATGCGTTAAGGATCACGATCCAATTTTTTTAGATAAAATAATGTGGAAATTACACACAACCCTATGTTTCAAGATCCAAATTCAAAAATCAGGGTGAAAGTTTAACTGTTCAAAAATCAGATATTTGATATTTTAATATTAAATATTATATATACAAATTTTACCGTCAAACCCTAAAAATCATTTACCAATCTCATCTCCCTCTATCTCTCTCTTCCCGTCGCCTCTCTCTCTCACCTCTCCACCATCTCCTCTCGCCGTCGGCAGTCTCCTCTCGCCGTCGCTCTCTTCCTCTCTCTCCTCCTGGAATCATCATCTCTCCTCGTTGTCTCTCCTCTCCTCGTCGTCATCAAGCTCCGGCATGGCTGACGGCCGACCACTCCTCTTCTCCTCGTTGCTCACGGTACGGCGCGGCTGAACTTGTTAGTCTACAGGCTGCTATAGTTCTACCGACCATGGAGGCTGGCCAGATAGGTCAGTGAATCCGAACACAAATTGCGTAGAAGATCAGTCAAATGCGCATCTGTCCTCGTCGGTTAGATATCTTGATTGTTGGCTGAATAATAAGCATTTTTCGTTGCCTTCAACCCGCCATCAATTTCACTGTTGTCGATAGCATTTGGGTAGTGGGTATTGTAATTTCTTGATCAGTAACGTTGAGTGGAGGGGATGTGTGGGAGAAAATGGGTGGTTTGTAAGTTTTTGAGGGTAGATTTGGTAGTTGCAAAATCTGTAATGCACACTGATAATTGATAGAATGCATAGCTTTTGAATTGTTTTTTTATTTTTTATTGTTCAAATCCAATTTCATCAAAAAGGGTAGGGTGTCAAATAGGTACTTAGTCTTCCTAATAGAGCCGTACAAGTTAACATTTATTCATAGTTAAAATGAATAAATGTGCCTGGTGGTGGTGGTTACGTGAGTGGTCACAGAAGTCGATGGTGGTAAAAATAAATAAATCTAACTATGACCTTAAAATTTAACTAGCGGCAGTTGTGAGGTGGTGGTCACGAGGGTGGTCACAGAAGTCGGTGGTGGTCACGAGGGTGGTCACAGATCCGATTGGCGGTGACCTTAAAATTGTGACTAAAAATTAATCTATGACGGGGTTGGTCACAGAAATTGGTGGTGGTCACAAAAAAAATTTGACTGTGACCTTAAAATTGTGACTAAAAATTAATCAGTGACCAATAAATTTGAAAATATGTGACTGATAGATAACTGTGACCTGTAATTTTTTGATTCGTGATCAATAAAATAATATGTGACCTGATTTGTGACCTCAAAATAATCCGTGACCTACAAAATTTTTGATCTGTGACCAATAAAAAAATCGTGACCTATAATTTTTTTTGATTTGTGACCTCAAAAATAATCTGTGACCAATTAATTATGTATATGTGACAATTAATTGTATAATTGTAATATCATTATATTTATTTAATAAAATAAATAAATATTTAATTAATAATATAAAT